TGGGTTCAAGCAATTCTCCTGTCTCAGCCTCCCGAGTAGCTGGGACTACAGGCGTGCACCACCATGCCCAGCTAATTTTTGTAATTTTAGTAGAGACGGGGTTTCACCATGTTGACCAGGATGGTCTCGATCTCTTGACCTCGTGATCCACCCACCTCAGCCTCCCAAAGTGCTGGGATTATAGGCATGAGCCACCGCGCCCAGCTATTGTAGCTGTCTTTACCAGGAGGTTTTGTCCAAAGTACCTAGTCTGCCTTTACTGAAAGGGTAGGTCCTGGTTTGCTTTTTAAACTATATTTATTTTAATTTAGTTTTATAAAAAAACAAAACAAAACACTTTTGGAGATGGAGTCTCACTATGTTGCTTAGACTGGTCTCAAACTCCTGGCCTCAAGCAATCCTCCTAGTTTGGCCTCCCAAAGTGCTAGGATTACAGATGTGAGCCTCCATCCCGACTCAGTTTTTTAAGCTATTAAACCATGAGTGTGGGGGATGGATCAGAGGGTACAACAGTGGTTTTGAGGAGACTAGTTGTAGGATGAGCTAGAAGATGACGCCAAAGGCCGGGCACAGTGGCTCACGTTGTAATCCTAGCACTTTGGGAGGCCGAGATAGGTGGATCACCTGAGGTCAGGAGTTCAAGACCAGCCTGGCCATCATGGTGAAACCCCATCTTAAAAAAAAAAGATGATGATACCATGAACTCAGATGAGGGCATTGGAAGTAGAGCTGGAATGGGGACAGTTTATCAACTCCTGGCTGTTGAGTTGATAGGACTTGGCATTAAGTTGTGTTTATGGGGTGAGAGAGGTGAGGGTGGTGGGTGCTCCGAGTTTTTGGCATGAGTAACTGGATGGTCCTAGTCCAAGACAGGGTGTCTAAAAGGAATGACAAGTTGATGAAAGAAGGTAAGCAGGCTGGGCGCAGTGGCTCACGCCTGTAATCCCAGCACTTTGGGAAGCTGAGGCGGGAGGATCACTCGAGGTCAGGAGTTCAAAACCAGCCTGGCCAACCTGGTGAAGCCCCATCTCTACTAAAAATACAAAAATTAGGCATGCGCCTGTAGTCCCAGCTACTTGGGTGCTGAGGCACAAAAGTCACTTGAACTTGAGAGACAGAGGTGGGCCGAGATTGCACCACTGCACTCCAGCCTGGCCGACAGAGTGAGACACTGTCTCAACAACAAAAAAAGTCAGCAGTTTGCCTTTGGGCATATATGTCTGATGAGATTTTGGGACGTCCAAGTGAGAGTGTCTCATGGGCAGTTGGTTATTTGAGCCTGGGATTCAGGCAGTGATGTATAAAATTGGGAGTTTTCAACAGATGGGAGGCATTTTCAACCTGCTTTGGTGATGATCTTGAATTGAATTATTATTATTTTGAGACAGAGTTTCACTCTGTCACCAGGCTGGAGTGCAGTGGCACAATCTGAGTTCACTGCAACCTCCGCCTCCTAGGTTCAAGCAATTCTCATGCCTCAGCCTTCTGAGTAGCTGACATTACAAGCATGCTCCATCGCATCCAGCTTTTTTTTTTTTTTTTTTTTTTTTTTTGCATTTTTAGTAGAGACAGGGTTTCCCCATGTTGGTCAGGCTGGTCTCAAACTCCAAACCTTGTGATCCACCTGCCTTGGCCTCCCAAAGCACTGGGATTACAGGCGTGAGCCACTGCATCCAGCCTGAATCGAATTATTTTAATTATAGCCTGAGCCACATAGTGAGGCCCTGTCTCTACAAATTTTTCTTTTTTGAGAGGGAGTTTTGCTCTTGTTGTCCAGGCTGAAGTGCAATGGAGCGATCTCGGCTCACCACAACCTCCGCCTCCCAGGTTGAAGCAGTTCTCCTACCTCAGCCTACCAACTAGCTGGGATTACAAGCATGCACCACCATACCCAGATAATTTTGTATTTTTAGTAGAGATGGGGTTTCTCTACGTTGGTCAGACTGGTCTTGAACTCCTGACCTCAGGTGATCCGCCTGCCTCAGCCTTGCAAAGAGCTGGGATTACAGGCATGAGCCACCACACCTGGCCCAAACAATTTTTTAGAAATAGCCGGACATGGTTGTGTGCGCCTGTAATCCCAGCTACCCGAGAGGCTGAGGCAGAGGAATGACTTGAGCCCAGGACTTCAAGTTTAAAGTGAGCTGTGATCACACCACTGTGCTCTAGCCTGAGCAACAGAGCAAGACCCTGTCTCTAAAAAAAAAAGAAAAGAAAGAAAAGAAATAAATATTTAATTGGAGTAATTGCCAACACTGATTGTTTTGCCAAGAAAGCAGTTTTTGGAACAAGATGCATTAAAGTAAATTAATTTATTGATAAAATGTAAATACAGCACCAACTGCTTATTTTTTGTACAAAAATTTTATTTTGTGGAAATTCTTTTCATTGGTATCAATTTAATTTGATTTTTAATTTGAATTTAATTTGAATTTTAATTAAATTTAATTAGAATCTTTTTTTTTTTTTTTTTTTTTTTTGGAGAAAGGCTGGAGTGCAGTGGCTCCATCTCAGCTCACTGCAACTTCCACCTCCCAGGTCCAAGCAATTCTCCGCCTCACCCTCCCCAGTAGCTGGGATTACAGGCATGTGCCACCATGCCTGGCTAATTTTTGTATTTTTAGTAGAGATGGGGTTTCTCCCATGTTGGCCATGCTGGTCTCGAACTCCTGACCTCAGGTGATCCACCGGCCTCAGCCTCCCAAAGCGCTGGGATTACAGGTGTGAGCCACGGAGCCCGGCCTGATTCCATTTTTAAACAAAATTGATTTCTTCATCATCTGTTTGCATTTCCTTTTGCAGCCATCGTTTCTACCAAGCCCCAGTCTCTTGGATCGGATTTTACAAATCTAAGTTATTTAAAGAAATTTGGCTTTTCTGTCATTTAAAAATTAATCGCCGGGCGCGGTGGTGCGTGCCTGTAGTCCCAGCCACTCGGGAGGCTGAGGCGGGAGGATCGCTTGAGCCCAGGAGTTCTGGGCTGTAGTGCGCTATGCCGATTGGGTGTCTGCACTAAGTTCGGCATCAATATGGTGACCTCCCGGGAACGGGGAGCCACCAGGTTGCCTAAGGAGGGGTGAACCGGCCCAGGTTGGAAACAGAGCAGGTCAAAACTCCCGTGCTGACCAATAGTGGGATGGCGCCTGTGAATAGCCAGTGCACTGCAGCCTGGATAACATAGCGAGACCCCATCTCTTACAAAAAAATTAATCATAAATTTTACCCAGTGTAGGTTCAGCAGTGGGCAGTTTTATTTTGTGGTGTTGGAAGAGTGATTGTTTCTATGCATTTCCTAGGGAATCCAAGATAAATTTTTGAGCAGTTTTGTGAACAGGAGAGTGGAAAGGAGAAAGGGAGGGGAGAGAGATGGAGGAGAGTGGGGCGAGCATGAGAGGATATGCAGTAAAGCAAGTCGAAACAGGGTTTAAATGCCCTGCTGAAGTCCTCCACGTATGGAAGCCCGGAATGGGACGAGATGGTCTGAGGAGAACAGAGAACAGGGTTCAAGGTCAAGGCTGCCAGATGTGGCTGCAGGAAAAGGAGGAGGGGGACCCACAAGACCCTTGGAGGGAGCCATCAGAGGGGGAGAAGGAAACCAGGCGCGGGCCCGCGCGCTCTCCCACTCCGGCTTGGGGATGCCGCTGCGGAGCGCGGAGCCGGCTGCCTGCAGGGCAGGGACGGAGAAGATGGGCAGCTAGTGCTTGGCGGTGCTGAGGAGGAGGGGCCCTGGGAAAAGACCGGCACCTGCCTTCTTCCTCAGCTCCAGGCACCGCAGGTGATTCAACTTCCTCTTTGTGCAGAATGACGGCCAGTGTGGGTTTCTGGGGCCAGGTACCGAGGAAGACACTTGCTACCCTACTGTGTTCCACCCCCGCCCACCGTCCACTTGTTCAGTGTGCCTCGTCAAGTGCGCTCATTTAGCAAAGAAAAATACAGAATACTCAGGTAAATTGCAACTGCAGATAACCAGTTTTTCTTTTTCTTTCTTTTTCGTGTTTTTTTGAGACAAGGTCTTGCTCTGTCACCCAGGCTGGAGTGCAGTGGCACCATCAGGGCTGACTGTATCCTGGACTTTCTGGGTTCAGGCAATGCTCCAGCCTCAGCGTCTGCCCCACTAATTTTTTGTAGAGATAAGTTTTCCCTTTGTAACCAGGCTGGTCTCTTTTTCCTTCTCTCTCTCTCTCTCTCTCTCTCTCTCTCTCTCTCTCTCTCTCTCTCTCTCTCTCTCAACGGAGTTTCATTGTCCAGGCTGGAGTGCAATGGCACAATCCCGGCTTACTGCAACCTCCACCTCCCGGGTTCAAGAGATTCTCCTGCCTCAGCCTCCGGAGTAGCTGGGATTACTGGCATGCGCCATCACGCCCGGCTCATTTTTTTTTTTTTTTTTTTTGTAGAAATGGAGTTTCTCTATGTTGATCAGGCTGGTCTCAAACCTCGAATTCCTGACCGAAAGTGATCCACGGGCCTCGGCCTCCCAAAATGCTGGGATTACAGGTGTAAAACAGTGCACCCGGCCTCCCAGGCTGGTCTTGAACTTCTGGCCTCAAGCAATCCTCCCATTTCTGCTTCCCAAATTGCTGGGTAATATTATAGGTGAGTCGCCGCGCCCGGCAGTAACCAGTTATTTATTTATACCATTTTTACACTTAAAAATTATGTTACCGGGCTGGGTGCAGTGGCTCACGCCTGTAATCCTAGCACTTTGGGAGGCCGAGGTGTGTGGATCACTTGAGGTCAGGAGTTCAAGAACAGACTGACCAACATGGTGAAACCCAATCTCTTCTAGAAATACAAAAATTAGCGAGGTGGTGGTGGCATGCGCCTGTAATCCAAGCTCTCAGGAGGCTGAGGCAGGAGAATTGCTTGACCCTGGGAGACAGGTTGCAGTGAGCCAAGACCGAGTCACTGCATTCCAGCCTAGGCGACAGGGCGAGACTCCATCTAAAAAAAAATTGTTACCTGAAATTCACATTTAACGGGGTGTTCTACATTTTGTCTGGCAACCTTACTCCTCTTCCAGTTTCCACTACTCTTCCGCTCAGGCCCACCTGAACAATGCAGCCCACTCCCTGTGGACCCACTGCCAGGCTTGCTGGCTGGGGTCCTCCCTAGGTGGAATTCACCTCCATGCCAGTCACCAGCATTATCATCAGGCCCATGCTCATCTTTGATCTTCTCATTGGTAATCTTCAGGATACATTTGGCATACTTCCAAATTAACCACCGGGGAAGGGGAAGGTCTTAAGACTCAGGGCTTACATACTGTCACAGGAAGATTAAAGCATCTTCCTGTCTCCCGCTTCCTCCCCGCCCCTCTTCCTCTCCATTCGTTTCCCCCCCTCCCCGTTCCGTGCCTTCTTCCCCCGCCCGCGCCGTCCCTCCCCCTCCAACCTCCGGAGCTGGAAAGAGAGTCAAGATGGCGGCTAAATCCGATGGTGGTGGCCTGGGGGGCTTCGCTCAGCTGCACAACCTGGACGAGGCGGTGGGCAGCGGCGGCGACGGCAGCGAGCCCGGCGAGAGCAGCTCGCTGCACATCTGCCACTGCTGCAACACCTCCTCGCGCTACTGGGGCTGCCGCTCCGCCTGCCTGCGCTCCCTCCTGGGCAGGAAGCCGCGCCGCAGCGCCGCCGCCAACGGGGGGACCAGCCGCTGCAGCCTCCCGCGGCCCCCGGCGCCGACTGCCAAACTTCGACGCACTCGGCCGCGCGGCCGCAGCCGCCGCAGGTGGAGCGGCCGTGACTCGACTGCCTGTGGATCGTGCTGGCGCTGCTCCGGTTCCTCGGGAACGTGGACACCGACCTGTGGCTGGCCCTCGACTACTACCACAAGGGGGACTATGTCTACTTCGGGCTGACCCTCTTCTTCGTGCTGGTGCGGTCGCTGCTGGTGCAGAGCCTGAGCTTCCGCTGGTTAGTGCAGTACTACACGGGCGGCGGGCTGAGCGCCGTGGAGGGGCTCAGCAGCCGGGGGCCCCTCAGGATGGGGGCCGGCTACGGCTACGGCGCGGCTGTCTCTGCCACGCCGGGGGCGCGGCGCCTGTGCCGCCTCTTCGTGTGGATCTGGCAGTCGGTCATCCACCTGCTGCAGATAGGGCAGGTGTGGAGCTCTCAGTGAAAGACATGAGGCTTTCACTGAAATGAGGTTGTTTTGAGGTCATCTGATTTCTGACTAGAAGGTTTGCAAATTTTTTTTGGTGATGGCATGTTCAGCAACTTGGATCCCTAATTTCAATATATTGGAAATATTTAGGAACTCTGGAAATTATGTTGTTTTGCAACTTACTAGATTGATCAGTAGATTTCAGTAAATATATAATAACAGATAATTATGATGTTGTACTTCTGGGTTGACATGCATGTCTCAAATTATCAGCTATCTGTATTAGTGTCATACTTTGGAGACAGTTACCTTTTGAAGGTTTTGGGGTTCTTTTTTTTTTTTTTAGACGGAGTTTCGCTCTTGTTACCCAGGCTGGAGTGCAATGGCGTGATCTCGGCTCACCGCAACTTCCGCCTTCTGGGTTCAGGCAATTCTCCTGCCTCAGCCTCCTGAGTAACTGGGATTACAGGCACGTGCCACCATGCCCAGCTAATTTTTGTATTTTTAGTAGAGATGGGGTTTCACCATATTGACCAAGATGTTCTCGATCTCTTGACCTCGTGATCCACCCTCCTCGGCCTCCTAAAGTGCTGGGATTACAGGCGTGAGCCACCGCGGCCAGCCCGGTTTTGGGGTTCTTATGAACCTCAGTTTTTTCAGGTAGTTTATGTAATTCTTCCTGTGGCTATTCTTTTCTGTCTGCTTGCAGTGTAAATTACTTAGAGGTAGTTATTTTTAGGAAAAAAGAAATCATCAAATGACAATTCTTAAGGCAGTAATGACAAAATTCCAACCTGGAACTGGTCTCAGAATGGAATGCATTAGAATATGCCAAGTCTACCCAGATTATATCCAAATCTACTTGTGGCACAATGCTACCAGCTTTCAAATGGAGACATTATTATGTAGGACAGAAGTACTAATGAGGAGGGAAAAGGAGTTGTTCAGTTTGCCCCCGCAACAGCCACCCCTTTCTGTTATTGGGTGAATGAATTAATGCAAAATTAGTGGCCAAAAGGTAGGCAGTATGAATGAAAGGGAAGAGAAGGAAAAAAACTTTAATCTCCAGGAAAGGTTATTTACTCTTAAAAAAAATTGAAAGTTGAGTGTATTCCATGTAACTGAACATGATATTTTAAACTGTGGACTGCTTTCAGAATGTAGACTAGTGTGTTCTCGGCCATTGGAATTAATGAGAATTTGTATCTGATAGGAGAGTCAGAGAGTCTTTGAGTGGTTATCTTTTTTCTTACCTGTTCCTGGGCCTAAGAGACTTGAGGAACATTCTAGGGCAGATACATATGATGGTCAAATTATTGACCAAAACAGGGAAGACTGATTTTTAAGATGACATTCCGAGCAACTTGGAAATGGATCCAGGGAAAAGGCTGAAGAGAAGGCAAGGCACTATAGAGACTGAGTAGACGCTCAGGGGAGTGTTCATGTATTAGTTTATTGGAAGTTTCATTGTTGGTGGATGGTCCAGTATTCCTGAAACTAGTGTGTAGCAGAAGTTTTCATGACATTTCTAGTGGACGGCTTTTGGAAGCTGAAGAGTTTACCTCAATACCCTTGGCCCCCTTTTTGCTTTGCTTGTTTTAAGAGAAATTGACTGATACGTATTTAATAGAAGGCACAGTGAAAACATTAAGTAGGTTTTTAAAGACCAGGTGTGATGGCTCATGCCTGTAATCTCAGCACTTTGGGAGGCTGAGGTGGGCTGATCACTTGAGGTCAGGAGTTCAAGACCAGTCTGGCCAACTTAGTGAAACCCCGTCTCTACCAAAAATATAAAAATTAGCCAAGTGTGGTGGCAGCTACCTGTAATCCCAGCTATTTAGGAGTCTGAGGCAGGAGAATCGCTTGAACCCAGTAGGTGGAGGCTGCAGTGAGCTGAGATTGTGCCACTGTACTCCAGCCTGGGTGACAGAGTGAGACTCCATCTCAAAAGTAAAAACAAAAAAACCCACATTAAATAGGTTTTTAAAAGTCATGTTAAATTTTAATCTGAGCCTCTGTTGCCTGTTTAGTTGCTTTCTCATTTAGCTGGCTTTTAGAAGAAACTTTCATTCTATGATACTTTCATCAAGAGAGGTGTTTCCTCTTAGTCAATTCTAGCCACAATATTGACTGGGCCCAGCCATTTGATACACCCAGAAGGAATTAACCAGGCAGGTGAAAACTTGGTCCCTAGTGGAATGAATATTTTAAAGACCATCTTAGATTCTGAAAACTGTGAGCACAAATGAAAGAGACCCAAGAGGGAACGACTTCAGAGCCTAAGAATAAGAAGTGGTGGTGGGGTTGGGGGACAAACTCACCCAGAACTCTCTTAAAGTGCTCTCAGTGAAGGAAGTGACTTTCCTGGGAAGGAGGAGCTGGTGCACACATGGCCTGGAGCTGTGGGTGTTCTGAGGTTGGGCAGCTCATACTAGTGGGCTGCAGTATCTTACAGGTAGTGGCATGTGATCTTTGGAAGTACTGATATATTTCCTAACAATGAATTTGATTTTGTTCTGGTATGTTCTGAATGGGTGTATGGCTCAAAGATTAACTTAGCTAAAAATAGATATATTAGATATTAGAGAAAATATTTAAAAAAAAAAAAAAGAATCTTCCTGTGAGCCCCTCAGACTATCAACGTACTGATTAATACAGAACCTACTGACATTGAAAACGACATCGATCTGTTTCTGAATCCTGAAGCTTTGCTGATTGTCCTGCATGAAGAACATTTTAGGCTGGGTGCATGTCAGCACACGCCTGTAATCCCAGCACTTTGGAAGGCTGAGGTGGGTAGATCGCTTGAGGTCAGGAGTTCGAGACTAGCCTGGTCAAATGCTAAAACCTCATCTCTACCAAAAAATACAAAAACTAGGTGGACGTGGTAGTTGAGGTGGGAGAATCACTTGAACCTGGGAGGCAGAGGTTGCAGTGAGCTGAGATTGAGATTACACTGAACCCCAGCCTAGGCAACAGAGTGAGACTCTGCCTCAGGGGGGAAAAAAAAAATTAGCCTGCATGTTGTCATCTGCAGCCCATGATTGTAACCTCTATATTGTACCCCCAATGCAGTAAGGCAACTCCAGTACAAGGAGTTCCCCTCTCTTCTGCTAAATGTTCTTATAAAAGCCGTTCACCTTGCCGCAGACTCTGGAACAAGCCCAGCTTTCTTGGTGTGACTTCGTTAGTGCGTTTTCCTGTGTCAATCCTCACTTTTGGCTTCCAATAAACCTCTATCGGGTCGTATCTATCTCAACAGCCTTAATTTTGGTCAGCATCATCTAAAACTCTGCCCTGGGGAGTGTGAAGCAAAAATGCAAAAAACATGTTTTATTTGATGGTGGTGACGTTTTCATTCAGGAATTTTGACTATAAAGGCTGGATTTCTGGCAGGGTGCAGCGGCTCTCACCCGTAATCCCAGCATTTTGGGAGGTGGAGGCAGGCGGATCATCTGAGGTCAGAGTTCGAGACCAGCCTGACCAACATGGTGAAGTCCCATCTCTACTAAAATACAAAAATTAGCCAGGTGTGGCAGCAGGCGCCTGTAATCCCCGCTATTCAGGAGGCTGAGGAAGGAGAATCACTTGAACCCAGGAGGCAGAGGTTGCAGTGAGCTGAGATTGCGCCACTGTACTCCAGCCTGGGGGAGAAGAGCGAGACTTCATCTAAAAAAACAAAAAGACTGCATTTCCGGCTTCTTGGAGTTGTGGCAGCCCCATGCCGGGTTTTCCACTTGGCCTCATCACCAAAAGCTAAGCATGCCTCTCCTTTTTAGAAATTTGGGGCCAGGTGCAGTGGCTCACTCCTGTAATCCTAGCACTTTGGGAGGCCAGGGTGGGTGTATCACCAGAGGTCAGGAGTTCAAGACCAGCCTGGCCATAGGGTGAAACCCCATCTTTATTTAAAAAAAAAAAAAGAAAAAGAAAGAAAGTTGGTAGTCTCTGCTTCTCCTTGGCCATTCTATAACCTGTTCTTGTCCTGTGGGAGCTTTTGCTTGACCCACTTCACAGGCTGGGGTCAGATTCCTCAGCTTGACCCTCAAGGCCTTTCCCATTCAGGCAACGTCACCTCTCTGCTGTCTTCCTTTCCTTCCTTCACCTTCCTCTCCTGGCCGAGGGAACACTGGATGGCTCCATAGTGTATGCCATGCCACTGGCCTCCCTGTCTCTGCACCCGCAGGCCCTGTCAACCAACCGGCAATTCTTCCTGTAGTCACATCCTACTCATTCATCCAGGCCCAGACTCCATGCACGTCCCCCAGATATCCTCTCTTGTCTCCCTGTTGGAAAGTGCTTCCTGCTTCTCTCCTCTGGCCACCCACAAAACCATTGCTATCCCTTATCAGCCCTTTTCTGCATACATACATACACACACACGCACACACACATTCACACATGTGCACACACACACACCCCTTACCAGCCCCCTTTCCACACACACACACACACACACACACACACACACACACACACACGGCTAAGCATCCATTGTGTACATGCTGGGGAAGCAATGAGGAAAATGACCTTTGGGAGTGTTAAAGAAAAAGTGAGACCGGGCGCAGTGGCTCACACCTGTAATCCCAGCACTTTGGGAGGCCAAGGCAGGAGGATCACTTGAGCCCAGGAGTTCAAGACCAGCCTGACCAACATGGCAAGACCCAGTCTTTACAAAAAATGCAAAAAAATTAGCCAGGCATGGCAGCACATACTTGTAGTCTCAGCTACTCAGGAGGCTGAGGTAGGAATATCATCTGAGCCCGGGAGGTCGATGCTGCAGCGAGCTGTGTTCGTGCCATTGCCCTCCACCCTAGGTGACAGAGTGAGACTCTATAGCAAAAAACAAAACAAAACCATGATTCAATAATACTTGTTAAAGCACTGTAAAGGCTGGGCACACACAGGATAAAAGCCGGGCTCACGTCTATAATCCCAGAACTTTGGGAGGTGGAGGAGGGCAGATCACCTGAGGTCAGGAGTTCGAGACCAGCCTGGCCAACATGGTGAAACCCCATCTCTACTAAAGATACAAACATTAGCTGGGCATGGTGGCAGGCACCTATAATCCCAGCAACTCGGGAGGCTGAGGTAGAAAATTACTTGAACCTGGGAGGCGGAGGCTGCAGTGAGCCAAGATTGTGCCACTGCACTCCAGCCTGGGCAACACAGTGAGACTCCATCTCAAACAAACAAAAAGGGCACGGTAAGGCAGCCTTTATTCAGGAGCATGGAGACAGACACAGGAAGCACTAGAGTGGAATCCTGCAGTGGGGGAGAGAGATCCGGCTCAACTCTGAATACAGCACCATAAGGTGGGGGTTGAGAACCAAGGAGCAGGATGGGGGCCGGGAGGATGGGAAATTACTAAAAGCAACATCGGGGTCGGGTATTCCAGCTAAACTGACCTAACAAGATTCTAGCTGAAGGTAGGCTAGGGTGACCAGACATTACCTGGAGGCTGGTGGGGACTGAGGAACCTGACCAGACATTAAGGGTGATCAGGTTTTGAGGGTGGGGGATTACACTACAGTGAGCTAGCAGGGTTCTTGCTGAAACTGCATTTTATAAGGAAGTACATAGATGGGTCTAGAAGAAGCCTCAGGGGCCTGGGGTAAAGCAGAGTCTTTGTCAGGAGCCTCCAGGTGACTTGTCTGCAGAGCTCAGGGGAGGAGAGGCCCCTGACCAGGGCTACCAGGCTAGACTGAGAATAGACTCCTCTATGGAGAAAACATGCAGCAACCTGTAACTTAAAAGAGGGATTTCCAGACTCAGAAAACCGTCAGGTCTTCATATGCAAGCTGGAACCAGAAAGTCTGAAGTTCTGCCTGCCTCTGCGAATCGTCTCCCACCCCACCGCCTGTGGTCGCCATTGTCCCTAATTGCCCAGCGGAGCTTCCCCGGACAGGCCCCTCACCCCACCCTGCCATCTTCACTGTTCTTATGATAATGTGAAAGCTCCTTGCCCCATCCTGCCATCTTAACTGCTCTTCCGCCTTAGCCAACCCGCCATTGTAACTGAACTTGTGGTCATGGAGACTCCTTGCCTCTACCCCCCACCACTGTAACGGATCTTACTGTACAACATCCCCGCCCCCCAAAATTACCCCAACTTATAAAACCAATTCCCACCCTTACTCCCTGCACCTGTCCTTTCTCAGGTTCCGCCTGCTTGCACCCAAGCGAGAAATAAAATGGCCTTATTGCCCACACAAAGCCTGTTTGGAAAATCTCTTTATTAAATGCATTTAAAGCTGGGCACGGTGGCTCACGCCTGTAATCCCTGCACTTTGGGAGGCCGAGGCGGGTGGATCACGAGGTCAAGAGATCGAGACCACCCTGGTCAACCTGGTGAAACCCCGTCTCCACTAAAAATACAAAAAATCAGCTGGGCATGGAGGTGCATGCCTGTAATCCCAGCTACTCAGGAGGCTGAGGCAGGAGAATTGCCTGAACCCAGGAGGCGGAGGTTTCGGTGAGCCCAGATCGTGCCATTGCACTCCAGCCTGGGTAACAAGGGCGAAACTCCGTCTCAAAAAAAAAAAAAAGCATTTAATATTCGGTACTATTGGATGCAAATAACAAAAACAACCAAAGCAACTCACTGTGCCTGAGGGGGCGTGGCCTACCTGGAACCCAAGGCAGCCTTCCTTCCTGGGAGGGAGCTGAAAGCGAGCAGGGGCTGACCACAAACTGTCCTGGAGGCCACGTTCAACTTTTGACTCCAGCGTAATTGGAAAACCAGTGGCGTTTTTAAAGCAAAGAGGTTATGCAATGAGTCTATATTTTGCTAGAATGTAAAACCCATCAGGGCAGGGATTTTGGTCTGTTTTATTTCTGGAACACCTGGTAAGAACTGAATAAACAATTGTGTAATGCATGAGTGAGAGAAAGAGTGAATGGGGTGCAGGAAGATAGATTAAGCTGGCGACAGGACAGGGATTGACTTCAGTGGGCAGAGTTTGGTAAGGGAGGTCAGGAGGTTGGGATACCAGGAGAGAGTGAGAAGGGCCAGCTGGCACAGATGGCAGCTGGGGACAGAGTGGAGGGGACAAGTGGAGAGGTTTAGAGGTAACTTTACAGTGTCCTTCATACTTCAAAAGTCTGGCACAGAGTAGTCACCTGTGGACATTCTAGATCTAATCAAAGGCAGAACCACCTGGCCCTTGACTCCAGCAATTCGATGGCTGGCCCGGAATTTCCTCCCTGGCAACCGTATCATTCTTACAGCATTTCTTCCCAGTTTACTTAGAGCTTCTGCAGACATTGCCTCATCAGATCCTTATCACAGCCCTGAGAAGGGGGACTCATTAGCTCCATTTTATAGACTCGGAAACAGAGGCCAAGAGAGGTTACGTGACTTCTCTGGGGTAACATATGGGAGACGTGGAATTCAGACCCAGCCACCAGTCTCTGCCTCCAGGGTCCTTTCTGCTTCCTCCGTCAGTTGGAGAGATATGATTAGCAAATGTGAAAGAGAGCACCAGGCAGCATATGGATTCAGCATGAAATGGGATATTAGTAGTGATATTAATAATAATGAATGGTGCTGATGTTCATCAAGTACTGTTGTGTGCCAGCTTCTACTCCAAGCACTTGACCCGAGTCCCCTCATTCATTCTTCAGACACTCTTTGGGTTTGATCTGTCACTCTCCCCATTTTACACGTAGCCAAGCACATGAGAGACACCAATGTGGGCTGATGCCGCCAGGGAAGGCCTCAGAGAGGACATAAGATGCGGGTGGGAGAGGAATAAGGCACACTGGAGACAGATGTGGCTTCAGCAAAGGTGTGGAGGAGTGGGCAAGAAAGGAGGGGAGAAGCCAATGGGTGTGTGAGACACGGCCTTGGCCTGCCTGCTCTCCAGGAGGGGCCAGGCCTGGCTGATTGAGGTTTGGCCACAGTAGGTCCCTAGGGCAGGTTGATGACAACAGAGTGATAAGGGTGCCCTGGGCTGCGGTGAGGAAGAGGGGCGGAAGAGGGAGACAGCTGGCTGGTCAGGGCAGTGCGGGTTGGTTGGAAATCCTGTGCTCAAGCTATCCTCCCACCCCAGCCTCCCAAGTAGCTGTCACTACAGGCAGCATGACTATACCCAGCACATTTTATTAATTTATTTTTGAGATAGGATCTCCCTCTGTTTGCCCAGGCAGGTGTGCAGGGGTGCCATCTTTGCTCACTGCAGCCTCAACCTCCCTGGCTCAGGTAGTTCTCCCACCTCAGTCTCCCAAGTAACTGGGACTACACGCACGTGCCACCATACCCTGCTAATGTTTGTCTTTTTAGTAGAGGTGGGGTTTTGCCATGTTGCCCAGGCTGGTCTCAAACTCCTGGACTCAAGCAATCTACCTGCCTCAGCCTCCTAAAGTGCTAGGATAACAGGTGTGAGCCACTGCGCCCTGGCCAGCACCCAGCAAATTTTATGTAGCACATTTTAAGAGGCCAAACCAGATGTTTCACGACGGTGCCCATAGCTTTTTGTTTGCTGCACAGTGTTGGTTCATATACTGTTGTTTTAGAAAAATTAATAAAAAATCAGAACATTTCAAATCCAAAGCCAAATTTACTGTTTCTGTTGGAAAGCGAGAAGATCTGGCAAGGCAGGGCCTCACTTCCTTACGGCAGCAATTGGCTGAAACACCTCTTGGCCACAGTCCCCACTAGTCCCTGTTGTTATGCTCCACCTATCTCACTCACTGATGTCACTTGCTTGGCCCCCTTAGGCATTGAGTTTTAACACCTGATTTAGAGGAACTGCAGCATGTTTGGAGAAGGGACCAGACTGTCTAGTGATTTGGAACTATATCATATGAGGACCAGCTGGAGCAATGGGGGATATTTACCCTCTAGGGGCTTGATTACTGCTTTTACATTCAAAGGGCTAAGATAGAGGAGGGGTCAGATCTGTTCTATGCCACCACGGCAACAAACTAGAACCAGTGGACATGTGTGCAGGGAGCGGGAGGGGAGGCAACAGGGAGGCAGATTTCTGCTCAAACTGAGGCAGACTTTTGAACATCATAACCATTTCAAGATGCAACAGTCATGTCAGGAAGTAGCGAGCTCCCTGGCAGAGTTGGGGGCCGTGTTTAGGCTAAGCCTGAGCCTGAGCAGCAGCTTCATCATGAATGTTTATAGAAAATCCAAGTGTTACGTGGGCAGCTGAACTGGATGCCCTTTGTGGTTTCTCCCAGCCCTCTAGGGCTGGGCTCTGTGCCCACAAAAGGGATGCCAGCGTGAAGGAGAAGGAAGAGCACAAAATGACTCCTCCACTGCTGGCCTGGAAGCCTGGAAGATGCTGCCACTGGTGGGAGGGGCAGGAGAAGACATTTTTGGTGATGTAGCATCAGAAAAGCAAGGGGTTTGGGTCAGACCAGTCAGGTCTTTTTTTTTTTTTTTGAGACAGAGTTTTGCTTTTGTTACCCAGGCTGGAGTGCAATGGCACGATCTCGGCTCACCGCAACCTCTGCCTCCTGGGTTCAAGCAATTCTCCTGCCTCAGCTTCCTGAGTATCTGGGATTACAGGCACGCACCACCATGCCCAGCTAATTTGTTGTATTTTTAGTACAGACAGGGTTTCACCATGTTGACCAGGATGGTCTCGATCTCTTGACCTTGTGATCCACCCACCTCCGCCTCCCAAAGTGCTGGGATTACAGGCTTGAGCCACCGTTCCCGGCCCAGTCAGGTGTTTTAAGCTTTCCATGTCTCTGTGTCTTCCTTGGAGTATCTCCCAGTGTTGCCAGGAGGATTTAGATGAAAACAGCCTGCTAACCAAGACAGCTGGATAAAGGTGAGTGCCCCACCCCCACTCCAGCCTGAGAGACCCTAGCGTTCTGGAACTGTGAAGAGCCACACCTGAGTTCTGGACCTGCCCTTATGGCCAGAAGTCTGACATCCAGTTTCTGTCTGTCAGAGGGAGAAGCATGTTGGATGACCTCCAGGGGCCCTGACAGCTCTGGGCCACTGCAGTCCTGATGGGAACCTGCATGCCTGAGCTCTCTGTCCAAAAGGGCCAGGATGGAGGCCGGAGCAGAGGAGTTGGGAGGCCCTGGAGGCGGCTACTGCAAATGTCCTTCCGTCACGGGAAAGGGAGATGCTCAGAGCTCAGCTTTAGATACGGTTTTGACTTTCAAATGATAAATATTATCTTACACATTAAAAAGTGCAGTTAAACCAAAAAAGAAAAAAAAAAAGCAAACCTGAAATAGAATACAAATAGAAAAGAAGCCGGGAATGGTTGCTCACTCCTGGAATCCCAGCACTTTGGGAGGCTGAGGCAGGCAGATCACTTGAGGCCAGGAGTTCGAGACCAACCTGGCCAAAATGGTGAAAGTTCATCTCTACTAAAAATACAAAAATTAGCTGGGTGTGGTGGCAGACATATGTAATCCTAGCTACTAGGGAGGCTGAGACACAAGAATCACTCCAACCTGGGAGGTGGAGGTTGCAGTGAGCCAGGATTACGCCAATGAACTCCAGCCTGGGCTACAGAGCAAGACCCTGTCTCAAAATAATAATACTAATAATAATACCAATAGAAAAGAAAATGATGCCAGGTATGGTGGCTCATGCCTGTAACCACTTTGGGAGGCCAAAGCAGAAAGATTGCTTGAGGCCAGCAGTTCAAGACCAGCCTGGGCAACAAAGCAAGACCCCCCCCCAACCCCATCTCTATAAAGAAGAAAAGGAAAAGCTAGCCAGGCATAGTAGCATACACAAGTAGTTCCAGCTACTCCGGAGGCTGAGGTGGGAGGATTTTCTGAGCCTGGGAGGTCAAGGCTGCAGTGAGCTGAAATCGCACCACTGCACTCCAGCCTGGGCAACAGAGTGAGATCCTGTCTGGTCTGGAACTCCTGGGCTCAAGGGATCCTCCCACCTCAGCCTCCCAAAGTGCTGGGATTACAGTCGTGAGCCGCCATGCCCAGCCTCTTTATTTTGACAAGGTCTCACTCAGTTGTGCAGGCTGAAGTGCCATGGCTCAATCTAGGCTCACTGCAGCCTTGACCCCCCAGGTGCAAGTGATCCTCATGCCTCAGCCTCTTGAGTAGCTGGGACTATGGGTATGCACCACCATGTCTGGCTAATTTTTAAATTTTTTTAAATAGAAACAGGGTCTTGCTTTGTTGTCCAGGCTGGTCTTGAACTTCTGGGCTCAAGTGATCCACCTGTCTTGGCCTCCCAAAGTACTGAAATTATAGAGCTGAGCCCCTGAGCCCAGCATGATGATGTATTTCTGAAACGATTTGGTGTATTCTTCAGCCTTCATGTATTTCTGTGATTTTGAAAAGCAGTGTTATTCGTCTGGGCTCACTGTGATTGCTCACAGCAAAGCAAACATTTCAACAAGTAGATACCTGGCAAGTAACCCCCGCAGCATGTGGGACTCAGCCCAGCTGAAAACAGCCTCCACGCCTCAGCCCCAAGGCTGTCGTGGGTCGCTGAGTGGATAGTGTCCCCTGTAGGACAATGCTTGCCAAGCGCCTTCCCCCGAAACATCTTGTGTAGCACATGCATTACAATTTACATTTTCTTTTTCTTTTCTTTTTTTTTCAGACAGAGTTTCGCTGTTGTTACTTAGACTGGAGTGCAATGGCATGATCTCGGCTCACCTCAACCTCTGCCTCCTGGGTTCAAGCAATTCTCCTGCCTCACCATCCTGAGTACCTGGGATTACAGGCACGCGCCACTATGCCCAGCTAATTTTTGTATTTTTAGTAGAGACGGAGTTTCACCATGTTGACCAGGATGGTCTCGATCTATTGACCTTGTGATCCACCCGCCTCGGCCTCCAAAAGTGCTGGGATTATAGGCGTGAGCCACCGCGCCCAGCTCAATTTACATTTTTCTAACACCAAAAATAAGATCCTTCTCCTCCCCTGCCAGGTTTTATTGGAGGAGATATCGGCACTCATAGGGCCTGTGCCTCTTCTGTGATTCAGTGACGGGCCAGTGGAAACAGCTGTTTCCACAGTCAGACAGAATGAGGTTTGGGTCCTGGTGTTGCTCACAGACGTCTTAATCAGGCAGACGCTGGGCTCCACCACGTGGTAATAACGAGAAAGTAGCTCTCAGGGTGGTGGTGGATGAGACTAGGTACAAGAAGAGGCTGTCCCAATGTGAGCTGGGGTTTATAAACCCAAGGGAGGGGGCGTGGGAGCTGAGGAGGGGGACCATATCAGAGGCTGCCAGGCTGAGTAGGGTGAGCTTTTCACAGGCGCCTGGTTAACAGGCGTAGTAGGTCGAAACCCCACGCTGTGGAACGCAGAAGGCCAAGGTCACTCAGTGAGTCAGGGCAGGGCCATGGCATGTGTCCAAGTCTACCCGACTCCAAATCTTGTGTTCTTTCCCCTGTGGGACCTTCACAGGTTTGCAGATAGAGGTCCCACTTTCCAGGGGCTTCCAGTTGCACTGGGCAGAAGGAAGGGCAGAACCTGCCTGGCTGCATCCTCTACTCTGAGACTTTCTCTGCCATTTCTTCAGCAGATGGCGGCTTCTTGCCTGGGAAGGGAGGACTGGAGTGGTCACCCAGGATGACTGGCAGCCTCCCTGACCAGCCAACTCCATGGGAGGTCCCATGGACCCTCCACCTCCATCTTACAGGCCTGAAGCTCACAGGAGGATCCTGAGGCAGTTAGAGTGGGTCCTGGGGCCAGCCCAGGGCTGGCACGGGGCACACATTTCACTTCTGGGCCATGGGAAGCTCTGGTTCAGAGCTTTAGCTCACAGCAGCCCCTCTGCACCAAGTCACTTGGCCCCTGCCACAGCAGCACAGCCTGGAGCCCAGCTGGATGAACCCAGCTCATGCTTGTGAAGTGTGGCCATTCTGACAGCCCCTGTCTTGATGCTCACCACCTCCCTGTCACTGTGCTTTACAGGTGACAAGAGCTTTAAGTTCTATCATTGTGATTCTATTTTCTGCTGCAGCCCGTTGAATGTAGCCTCCTATCAAATACAACTTTTACCTTAGTGCTGTGCTGGAATGCAAAGCTTTTACTTCAGATGAGAGCTGAGCGCCCACAAGGTTGAAAGGAAAAAGGATTTACTAAATGTCTTTGGTTCCCAGGTCAGGTAGACAAGCTCAGAGGTCTTCAAACTGGGGGTATACAGATTTCTGGATACACAGTCTTTCTGGGAGTGAACAAAAATAGGATTTGTTACTTTATTGACTAGTGAAACTAGAAAAGCTCCCTTGGCCTCATAGGACGTAGGGGCGTGCCTTGCTTCTTCAGTGCCCTGCTACTCAGACCTCTAGGGGAGCATGCAGATGGGCAGGCTGTGGGGCTCCCACCCCACGGCAGCATCTGGGGCAAATGTTTCCAGCCCCTGAAGCCCCAGGGGGCATGTGTTACAGGGTGCTCTTTCAGTGTGGCTGTCCATAGGCGGATTGTGTTAGTCAGCTCAATTGGACCCCTGCCTTATCACAAGAACAGAGGGCTTTCTGAGTCCTGTGGTTCCTGCCTTGGTGTGCCAGAAGAATTGGATCACATGTGGTCTTGGGGAATGAGCACAAGGTTTTATTCAGTGGAAGTAGCTCTCAGGTGGGGGAGTCAGGAGGGAGATGGTTTTCCCTGGAGTTGGGCCACTCGGTGTCCAGAGCCTTCCTCCAACTGCCCCAGCCAAACTCTACATCATTGTGCTGGTCACTGGCCTGCCAACGTGCTGTCCGTGTGTTCCTCTTGACCTCCAGCCGCCTGTGGGTCTGCCAGCTACAGTCTCGGGGGTTTTTGCAAGCACAAGATGGGAGAGTGGCAGGCCAGGGTGGTCTTAGGAAATGCAACATTTGCGCAGGAAACAAAAAATGCCTCAGAAGAGACTGAGATGCCAAGTTAAAGTCTTGACACCCCACTTCCCCATGACTGGGGAAGAAGATTCACTTGAACACATTTTCTTTGCACATCTAAGTAGTGGGATGAGCAAATCCCAGCCGTCCTCCACACCTGTGTCCCCCTACTGAAACCCTCACACTGCCAGAGCAGGGTGCTGGTGTTCTCCTTCTTGCAGAGGTAAAGTAAAGAGGTTTTGTGAGGTGAGTCGGTCTCACAAGCACACGCAGTTATTTGCAGAACTGGGACTGTCCAGCTCCCAGCCAGAGTGTCCCTCCACTGGCTCGCCTCTCTCCCCGAGGCGCCAGTCTCTCTGGGTTGGTCTCGCATAGATGGCTGTGGCCGATAAGCCAGAAAGGCAAGCTTTCCTCCAAGTCATGCTGGAAAAACACTGCTTACACACAGGTATGCATTTCTGGGGCTCCCACAGTGTGTATGTGGGTCCACTTGATGATGTCGCAGGTCCGGTAGGCTCAGTTCACTTTTCTTCAATCTTTTTTTTTTTTTTTTTTTAAGGGAGTCTCTCTCTGTCACCCAGACTGGAGTGCAACAACATGATCTCAGCTCACTGCAACCTCCATCTCCTAGGTTCAAGCGATTCTTATGCCTCAGTTGCCTGAGTAGCTGGGACTACAAGCATGCACCACCACACCTGGCTAATTTTTTTGTGTTTTTAATACAGACTGGGTTTCACCACGTTGGGCAGGCTGGTCTCAAACTCCTGACCTCAAGTTATCGGTCTGCCTTGGCCTCCCAAAGTGCTGAGATTACAGGTTTGAGCCACACCCCTGGCCAATCTTCTTTCTTTCTGTTCCTCACACTCAGTAGTTTCCATGGTCCTATCTTCAGGTTTGCCAGTTCTTTCTTCTGCCAGCTCAGATTGGCCTTTGATTCCCTCCAGTGACCTTTTCATTTCAGTTCCCATACTCTGGAGCTGAAGCTTCAGAATTTCTTTTTGATTTTCCATCCATTTTGTTCATACATCATTTTCTTGACTTTTTCCATGGTGTCCTTGAGTTCTTTCAGCATCTTTAAGGCTGTCTTTTAAAGTCTAATAGATTTGCCATTGGGTCTTTTTTCAGGGACAGTTTCAGTTGGTTGACTCTTTTCCTTTGAATGAACCATGATTTCTTATTTCTTTGTATGCCTTATGATTTCATTGTTGTTGCTATAAACTAGACATCTGAATCAAATAATGTGGTAACTCTGGAAATCAGTCTTCTCCTTTCCCATGGTGTGCTGTTTTTTGTTTTCATTTTCTTTTTAGTTCAGTTTTTTGTTTTGTTTTTCTTGAGACAGAGTCTCACTCTGTCGTCCAGACTGGAGTACAATGGCATCCTCTCAGCTCACTGCAACCTCCGCCTCCTGGGTTCAAGCCATTCTTCTGCCTCAGCCTCCTGGGTAGCTGGGATTACAGGCACATGCCACCATGCCCGGCTAATTTTTTGTATTTTTAGTACCGACGGGGTTTCACCATGTTGACCAGGATGGTCTCAATCTCTTGACCTCATGATCCACCCGCCTCGGCCTCCCAAAGTGCTGGGATTACAGGCGTGAGCCACCGCGCCCGGCCACTTTTTTTTTTTTTTTTAATCTTTGTGGTCTGTCTCTGTGCCAGTGATCAGCCAGAGCTATAAACTTAAGGTCTTCTCAACTCTTCTCTGAGCCTGTGCCTTCCCTGGGGCACAGTGACTCTAGTTTCCCCATATATGCAGTTGCTTTTGAATGTCCTGGTCTTCAATGTCTGGCTCCCAAGAGAGGAAAAAGAGAAAAGTGAAACAGGTGCAGGGAGACCCAGACTCCTTAAATCCTCTGGAAGTCACTTCAGCCAGAGGGGGAAGGGCTTGCAACACTGGGGGCAGGTGCAGTCACAATAAGGGCCATCTCTTTGTCTGCACCTCAGTGATCAGAAGCAGCAATCAGTGAGCAGAGCACAGACCTCCCGTATTTGGAGGACAGTGTCTTTTTTGTCCACCGGGCTCCCACCCACCAGCTGTCTGCAAGCTGCTCCAGGAATATGTGTACAGCTGCCAGCCAGGGGCATGGGATAGGGGATGGGTGGCTGCTGCCTGCTGAGAGCTGAAATGGATGCAAATTAGCTACAACTGGAAGTCTTCAATAGACTCCAGAGTTCTAAAATAGTTACATCAGAGGAATTCTGTCAACGCAATTGTTGTTGAGATGAAAGGACAGATTTCTGGAACCTGCTACTCCACCGTCTTACAATCCTTCTCTCCTCAACTTTTTATTTTGAAAAATTTGGGCCAGTAAAATTTTTTCAAAGAAAAGAAATTGGCTGGAAGATACTTACATACTAACATGCTTTGGGAGGAGGTTTTCTCACTTCTGAGGCACATGTCTGTCTCATGGTAAAGCCTGGCCTAAAGCAAGGTTTGGAGGTGATGGACTTTCTCCCTGACAATAAGGCAGGCTGGGTGGGAATTCTCATCTCAGGAACGTCTGCGAGAAGAAGCAAATGACCACAGGGGTCAGTATAAGCTGGTGGATGAATGAGGAGCTATTGATCTCGGGACTGGGAAGGGACCACTCCCATCTGCACCTGGCAGTTCACTGTTTCCATTTGTAGCATGGAGACTTAACGGACACTTAACTTTTTTTTTTTTTTTTTTTTTTTTTGAGACGGAGTTTCGCTCTTGTTACCCAGGCTGGAGTGCAATGGCGCGATCTCGGCTCACCGCAAC